TCTTCTTTTCCTCCGTCAGGCTGCCTTCATCCGCGCCATGCCAGGTTTCCACGCCACGGTGGAGCCAAAGGGAGAGGGCCGGGAGGGGGGGGGTAGCTCTGCCGGGGTCCGGTGCTCTAAGTCCGGCCACCGGGGGGCCCGCGGGTGTCCGGTCCCCGGTTCTCTCTCCCGGATCGGAGGCTGAATAAACGCCGGAATAAAAACCGCTGGCTGAGGTCAGTGCAGCTCGGAGGGGAGGGGAAAGGGAAGGGAAGGGAAAGAGGGAAGGGGGGAGGGATGGGAGGAGAATCTGGACCCCCCCCCCTCCCTCCACCGGGATGAGCCGGTCCAGCCTTAAAGGGACAGTACACCCGGTGCATGGTCCATCATGGACGGTTTCCTAAATCAGTGTTTTTCAACCAGTGTGCCGTAGAAAATCATCCTATTTCACCTAATTGGTCTGAAAATTTTTTTTGATAAGGAATTAATTTTCTGTAAATAATTTGCCATTTTTGAGTGTCTGTGCTGTTCTAGTGACTGGTGGAGTAATCATGTAATAATTCCTTATGACTAGATTTTGTATATAATTTTGTATATTGAAGTAGACATTTTAAGAGCAATTTGAAAGAAGAAATATAAAATATGATAAAAAATACATTTTTGTGTTTATTTGATTCCTATTCAAGACACTTAAGATAAGATGAGATAAGAATAAGATAAGAAAAACTATAGTGTTACTATAGGCGGCTACATATTTGTTTGACATTTTTGGTTGGTGGTGTGCCTCGAGATTTCTTCAATGAAAAACTGTACCATGGCTCAAAAAAGGTTGAAAAACACTGTCCTAGATCCACTATCCTGTGTGAGGGCGTGACCAGTATCCTATAAACAAGAAGCGAGTAAAGATAAGATAAGATAAGATAAGATAGGATAAGATAAGAGAGCTTTACTGATCTCAAAGTGGAGAAATTCACTGGTCACACATCGGTTTAGTGACTAAAGAGAGTTAAAAAGTAGTAAAAGGTGCATAAAGAAACAGTACAAACAGCAAAAACAAACAAATATACAAGGAAGCAGCACAGCGCAGAGATACGAGTGACTAAAATATGAACAATCACTGATGGCTCACACACAGTGCACATATTGCACAGAAAAGACACATAAACTCCAGAATGAAGGATGGGGAATAGAAAGATGAGGTCAGATTAAAGGAAACTAGAGCCAACACACTCCTACAGCCCTTCACCTTTATTTAGAAATAGTTATCAGCCGTTTTTGGGTTGATTCTGTTAGGATTTGGCTATAAATACTCACTTTAGCATAGTAGGCTATCACATAATATATATGTAAATTACCGATTCTTTTATTTTCTTTCATAACTATATTTTGTGTTAAAGTCTCTGTCTCTGTCCACAGACTCTCTTTTCTCTCTTTTTCTTTCTCTGTTGCATTAGATCCACCTTTAGGTCAACACACACACACACACACACACACCATTTGTTACCACATTCCTGTCATCTGCATGAATTAGGACCTGGCCTGTTCGTGCCCAGAGGTAACTCAAAGAATAAAAAGAAATAAAAAACTACATTTCAGCAGCTGAATAAGTCGAGATCTTCTTTAAACCTTTAAGTCTGAAGCTTAATAACCATAAAAGTGGTCAAACTCTTGTTAGAATTTGGCAATAATGACTCACTTAACATTGTATGCTATCACATGATCTGTGTAAATTACTGATTGTCTTATTTTCTGTTATAACTATATTTTGTGTTAAAGTCTCTGGCTGTGTCCACAGACTCACTTTTCTCTCTCTGTTGCATTAGATCCACCTTTAGGTCAACACACACACACACACACACCATTTGTTAGCACATTCCTGTGATCTGCATGAATTAGGACCTGGCCTGTTCCTGCCCAGAGCTAACTTAAAGAATAAAATTGGATCAAACAAGATTTTCTATACATTTTTGTATTCATTAACCTTTTTTTATTCATCTAACAGAGCTCATTCTGCTGTGTATGTTGTGAATCAATAAAATAAGGTGTTCCAATTTGAATCTTTCCTGCTGTATAATCGTACTCTTGCTTTTGGGTTATATTGAACCCAAAGGTGCCACATAAATAAAGCATCACTTTAACACTCAAAGCCAAATAAATCGAGTTATCTCCTCAGGTTTTGCACACCTACTCACCTGGATTTAGCCAATTCCTGAACACACATCTGTCCCGGGTCCGTCCAAAGGGATGGGAGGCAGGTTCAGACTCTTTTTCTCTTTTAAAGGAAGCCGGAGTATCCAGAGAGTTCCCAAATACACTCAGAATTGACTGAATTAATGAAGGACCCTCGTCAAAAACACACCAGTCTTCTCTCTGATTCTTGTCAGGGCGTTTTTTAACCCTGTAATGCCAAATGTATCATATTTGATTCATACGGTTTCTGAAATGTTTTACGTCTGACACCTTTTGCATAATTTAATGGTAAAAACTTTGCTCAAAATCCTATTGTACACAATCACCTATACCTGATAACAGGGGGCAGAAGACTACACAAAAAATAATCTTTACTTATCGCATAGTAATAAATCATTAATATTGAAAATGTATTTTTGTTTTTTCTTTTTACATATTTTGTTAAAAAGGCCAAATATAGATTTAAAACAAAAAAAAAAGTCAGTTTCTGTTTTGTTTTATTCTTGGATCGGGCTTTAAAAGGGTTAAATGATGGTCGTATTTTTTTAATGAATAAATCAACGTCACAGTTGTCTCATTTCTGTAAGAATTACGTTTTCGAACCGTATAACACAAAAGGGAAAAGATAAGAAACGGAGGCCTTCCTCGTCAGCTCAACATGAGCAGGAAGGACATATTCTGGAAAGATCTTTTCTGAATTCCTCATGGACACGACGCCGTCATTAGTAACAATGATTTCACAGGACAATGAGAGTAGAAACGCGGACAAAAAACACAGGAAACTCAGTCACACAGTGAGATCTTCACAATTCAGTTAACCTAAAGGAGCCAAATCTGAAGGAAAAAAAAACAGCCTGGAAGCCTTTTCAAAGCCCATATTTGTCAAATGAATGTCCACAAATAATCCACAAGTGTCCAGAACTTTCCCAGTTGGAGACTGGGACTAAGACATACTTGTATATGAACATTTCCTGGTTAGTCCTGGTAGGATATCAACTCAGTAATCGACAAAAATTATAGTCACTAATACATCTTTTAAGAGAATACAACTGAAGTAATGATAAGCCAGAACCAAGTCCTGTTCCTGGTCCTGGTCCCGTTTGACTGGAGAAGATCCAACTGGATCCAAACTTCGACCGGAGAATGACATGCAGAGAAA